GCAGACGAGCTGAATGAGATGCAGATTCACTCTCTGCCAGTAGGTGGCGCTTAAAGCATTTCCTTGGTTTCCGCTGTAAACAAAGCAGAGCTGCACTTATGAACTTTAATATGCGTTATACAGAGGCAAGATGAAAAAAAAAAAAACGTCTAAACTTTTCTAAAGACAGTAAGTTCCCCTCAGACATACATTCATATAAACTCCTACCCCTAATTGAATCGTGATTTGTTTAGCATCTCAACTGATTTGAATTGTCATGTATTTGAATTGATTTTCAACTGGCTTGCGGTTAATCGTTACATCCCTAATTATTACAGAAGCATAAGCCTGGCAAACAGTTTTTGTCTTTCTCCTCTCAATAGATATTTATTAATGGAAAATGTTTTATGGGCAGAAAATGGCTACCTGGGGGTGTAACCAAGATGGCCGCCAAGTAAACTGACTGGCTTGAGAGTGATTTTTCCAGTGAACACAAATGCTCAGTGGTATCACAGTTTGAGACTTTGTTGTAAAATATGTTTTTGAGAGTCTTCTTCTCAGGAGAAGCATGTCAGAACAAAAATTCACTGCCACTGATTTCTTGGAGAAACAATTGTGATCCAAATGAGAAAGCAAAGAGGTTCGTGGCTTCCCTTGGGTTAGTATCTGGTGCTTATGAAAACCAGATCATGTTGTTGATGGTGTTTCTGGGTGTGCTTGTCTGTTTTGATTCTCTGTATGTCAAATTTGTGTGAATTCTTAAAGGAAGGCTTAATTTAATTTGCTCTGGTTGGATCTTCTGAACTCGTGAATGTCTGTAGGGCTCTTAAAGAGCTGAAATGAGTCTCTCTTCTTCTTGTACACATTTGTGAGAATCTTCTTGTAATGGACACATTTGTGAGATTTTTAAAATAAAAGAGAGAACAAAAAGAGTTGATAAAAATTCTGTCTTTTTTGTTTTACATCTTCAGACACGATGACCTGAAGGAGATGCTGGACAGTAATAAAGACTCCTTGAAGCTGGAGGCCATGAAGCGTATTGTTGCAGTGAGTACACCACGCACATTCAGTATTTTTGTTTTGTTTTCCAGTCTTAAATCAACATACATTTATTTGACATAAGATATCATCTTTTTCTGGAAAAAAATCATCAAAATAAGTGTTTTTGCTTAAAACAAGAAAAAAATATCTACCAATGAGGTAAGAAAATATATATATTTTTGTGCATACTATTTCTGAAGTATGCAGTATGTGTATAGCATGCAACATGCCAAAATGTGCATTATAAAACGGTATCACAGTTTGAGACTTTGTTGTAAAATATGCTTTTGAGAGTCTTCTTCTCAGGAGAAGCATGTCAGAACAAAAATTCACTGCCACTGATTTCTTGGAGAAACAATTGTGATCCAAATGAGAAAGCAAAGAGGTTCGTGGCTTCCCTTGGGTTAGTATCTGGTGCTTATGAAAACCAGATCATGCTGTTGATGGTGTTTCTGGGTGTGCTTGTCTGTTTTGATTCTCTGTATGTCAAATTTGTGTGAATTCTTAATGGAAGGCTTAATTTAATTTGCTCTGGTTGGATCTTCTGAACTCGTGAATGTCTGCAGGGCTCTTAAAGAGCTGAAATGAGTCTCTCTTCTTCTTGTACACATTTGTGAGAATCTTCTTGTAAAGGACACATTTGTGAGATTTTTAAAAGAAAAGAGAGAACAAGAACAGTTGATAAAAATTCTGTCTTTTTTGTTTTACATCTTCAGACACGATGACCTGAAGGAGATGCTGGACAGTAATAAAGACTCCTTGAAGCTGGAGGCCATGAAGCGTATTGTTGCAGTGAGTACACCACGCACATTCAGTATTTTTGTTTTGTTTTCCAGTCTTAAATCAACATACATTTATATGACATAAGATATCGTCTTTTTCTGGAAAAAAATCATCAAAATAAGTGTTTTTGCTTAAAACAAGAAAAAAATATCTACCAATGAGGTAAGAAAAATATATATTTTTTTGTGCATACTATTTCTGAAGTATGCAGTATGTGTATAGCATGCAACATGCCAAAATGTGCATTATAAAATGCATAATGTGTCCCACAATGCAGTTCTCTCAAGCGTCAATTGCATTGTCTAGTTGTGTGATGCACAGCTGGACTGCGAAATTTGAGCTCAGTTTTCATGGATCATCAGTAATAAAGTATCAGCAGGTTCAGTTTCATAGCTGTATTGATGAACAGAAGCAGATATATACACGGAAATCTAAGTCAAATAAAAAACATGATTGTTTTGTGTTTCAGGAAGAGATATTTGGATTCATGTCAGTAATTTTGCGACTGTGTAAATAGACAGAATGTTATATTTTTCCAGGATTCTTTGGTGAATATAAAATTCAGAAGAATGCATGTTGCGAGTCACTGTCACAGCTGGTTAGGACAAAAACTCCTTGTGAAAAAACTGCAGAAACTGATTAATATGGAAAAGATACCTTTTCTCATGTGTCGCAGCGTCATGTTGCGTCTGGTTAGGACACAGTGTTTATATTTGTTATATAGACAGAATTTTCATTTTTGGCTGAACTGTCCCTTTAAGTGTCCAGAGGCTTTTTGGGGTCACAGTATAATTGAATCTCACCATATATACTGTACATCAGTGTGTAAATATTGCTCTGTTTGTGTGTGTTTTCACACAGATGATCGCCCGGGGGAAGAACGCCTCAGATCTCTTCCCTGCAGTGGTGAAGAACGTGGCCTGTAAGATAGTGCATCTTTGAGCCTATATTTACAGTAGTATGAGTAAAATACTTAAGTACTGTTCAAATCAGATACTCTTAAGTCTTACTCAAGTTGTTTTGGAATTGGTGAGTTGTAACGTGTAGTGGAGTAATTTTCACTGTAAGGTACTTTTACTCAAGTATGGTTTTCAGGAATTCTTTACACCTCTGGAGTGTATGTGTTGTTTGTGAGTTTGCAGTGGCGTGTGTTTTCTCTCTCAGGTGAAGAAGCTGGTGTACGTGTATCTCGTGCGCTACGCTGAAGAACAGCAGGATCTCGCTCTGTTGTCCATTTCCACCTTCCAGAGAGGACTGAAGGTCTTAAAACACACACACAAACACATTATTCAGGGTCTAAACATGCAGCTTAGACAGGAAGCGGCTCAGAGCTTACAGGATGTCAGCTTTTATGGCTGTTATTAAACTTTAATCTTGTGTTAATATGCAATGGCAACGTGGTTCTGCTCATGAGTCACTGTAAGCTCAAGTGCTGAGTCACAAAAAATGCATTAAAGTGCCCCTATTATGGATTTTTGAAAATTACCTTTCATGCCGTGTGTAACACAGCTCTAAGTGAATGAAAACATCCTGCAAAGTTATAATTCTGAAAGTGCACCGTATAAAGTTATTGTCTCTCAAAAGAAAGAGTCGACTCTGAATCATTGAATCGAGTCATTTTTAAAACGAATCCCAAGCCGTTTCATGTTGACGTCAATGTGAAACATTAGCATATTGCCCACCCACTCGTTGGTCTTTTCAGGTTGGTCTGAATGAAAATGCAAATTCATTCTTTGCCACTAGGTGCCGCTTTTGGAGCGGTAAAAATAGTGGTTTCCCCGTTAATGCTGTACACAAAGCAGCACTGCGCTCACAAACGCTGCTTTATCAGGCATTACAGGCATGATGAAATGGAAATGAAATCGACCAATCACTGCAGATTAGAGTCACGCAAACGAGGGGTTTGGGAAAATTAATCATTGAGCGAATCATTTGGGAGTCGTTGATCAAGTAAGGTAAAAATAAATGCATATTATAAGACAATGAAAGTGTTTTTGACCTTGCATGCATGACAACCTGTTGTTGGGGACTCCCAAAACCAAAGTATGAACCTTTCATAACCCATAATAGGGGCATTTTAAACACCAGATCAGAGCTCTATTCACCCCACTGTGAGTGTATCAGAAAGGTGTAAAGTATTAAATGTAATTACTGTACTTGAGTATATTTTTGGACACTCTGTAGTTTTACTGAGCATCAAAGATATTAGCAACTTTTACTCTCTACTTCACTACATTTTTAAATAGGGATCTGTTCTCTTTACTCCACTACATTTGTGAGTGTTGCAGTTACACATTACTTTTTGCACGGCACCTAGCTTTTTCTGCAGCAGTTTACTTCTGCTACAAAAGAAGTGATATGGCAACTACAGGGCACTGAAAGTACTATATCTTGTGCGTTTTGCCCTTACTCACCCAAACTTGTCAACAAGGCTATTTCACTTGAATGTGAGTTTCTTAGCAAGTAGTTGTGAATCAGAAGTGTGAGATGAGGACATGACTGCAGCCGGCAATGAGGCCCAAACCAGCACATCCAGTGCAAGAAGGCTTTGACTTTTTAATTTTACTTAATTAACGTTATTTTATTTATCCGTTATTCTGAAGAGACCTTTTTGAAGGATTTTTAATTTTGAGGTGTTCAGTTATATTTTGGTTTTAGAAAATATATGTGATTGCCCTCGTCTTTCTTGTTTTTCACTGGCATGTCTCTTTGACTAGTGCATCTTTGAGCCTATATTTACAGTAGTATGAGTAAAATATTTAAGTACTGTTCAAATCAGATACTCTAAGTCTTACTCAAGTTGTTTTGGAATTGGTGAGTTGTAACGTGTAGTGGAGTAATTTTCACTGTAAGGTACTTTTACTCAAGTATGGTTTTCAGGAACTCTTTACACCTCTGGAGTGTATGTGTTGTTTGTGAGTTTGCAGTGGCGTGTGTTTTCTCTCTCAGGTGAAGAAGCTGGTGTACGTGTATCTCGTGCGCTACGCTGAAGAACAGCAGGATCTCGCTCTGTTGTCCATTTCCACCTTCCAGAGAGGACTGAAGGTCTTAAAACACACACACAAACACATTATTCAGGGTCTAAACATGCAGCTTCATCCTGACAAAATCTTCCCTGAACCTCTTTCACAGCATCCAAAACATAAGAAAAGGCAAACGAGGGGTTTGGGAAAATTAATCATTGAGCGAATCATTTGGGAGTCGTTGAGCAAGTAAGGTAAAAATAAATGCATATTATAAGACAATGAAAGTGTTTTTGACCTTGCATGCATGACAACCTGTTGTTGGGGACTCCCAAAACCAAAGTATGAACCTTTCATAACCCATAATAGGGGCATTTTAAACACCAGATCAGAGCTCTATTCACCCCACTGTGAGTGTATCAGAAAGGTGTAAAGTATTAAATGTAATTACTGTACTTGAGTATATTTTTGGACACTCTGTAGTTTTACTGAGCATCAAAGATATTAGCAACTTTTACTCTCTACTTCACTACATTTTTAAATAGGGATCTGTTCTCTTTACTCCACTACATTTGTGAGTGTTGCAGTTACACATTACTTTTTGCACGGCACCTAGCTTTTTCTGCAGCAGTTTACTTCTGCTACAAAAGAAGTGATATGGCAACTACAGGGCACTGAAAGTACTATATCTTGTGCGTTTTGCCCTTACTCACCCAAACTTGTCAACAAGGCTATTTCACTTGAATGTGAGTTTCTTAGCAAGTAGTTGTGAATCAGAAGTGTGAGATGAGGACATGACTGCAGCCGGCAATGAGGCCCAAACCAGCACATCCAGTGCAAGAAGGCTTTGACTTTTTAATTTTACTTAATTAACGTTATTTTATTTATCCGTTATTCTGAAGAGACCTTTTTGAAGGATTTTTAATTTTGAGGTGTTCAGTTATATTTTGGTTTTAGAAAATATATGTGATTGCCCTCGTCTTTCTTGTTTTTCACTGGCATGTCTCTTTGACTAGTGCATCTTTGAGCCTATATTTACAGTAGTATGAGTAAAATATTTAAGTACTGTTCAAATCAGATACTCTAAGTCTTACTCAAGTTGTTTTGGAATTGGTGAGTTGTAACGTGTAGTGGAGTAATTTTCACTGTAAGGTACTTTTACTCAAGTATGGTTTTCAGGAACTCTTTACACCTCTGGAGTGTATGTGTTGTTTGTGAGTTTGCAGTGGCGTGTGTTTTCTCTCTCAGGTGAAGAAGCTGGTGTACGTGTATCTCGTGCGCTACGCTGAAGAACAGCAGGATCTCGCTCTGTTGTCCATTTCCACCTTCCAGAGAGGACTGAAGGTCTTAAAACACACACACAAACACATTATTCAGGGTCTAAACATGCAGCTTCATCCTGACAAAATCTTCCCTGAACCTCTTTCACAGCATCCAAAACATAAGAAAAGGCTACACTCCAGTTTACATACTTCGTATTGAAAGTGCATAATGTACTTTTGAGTGTGTAGTAAGACTACTGCTTATTTAGTTAAAGCTGCTGTTTATCGCAATGTTTTCAGTTCAGTCATGTAAAAAATATATTTTTATATATATTCAAATATATAAAATATTTTTTAATAAATAAAAACCTTTATATTATGTTTATGCTTGTTGAGTGTAGTTATGTAAAAGATAATGTATAGTCAGTTTTCAGGCTAGTTTATTGAAAAATAAACCCCTAGATCGAGTTTGTGCAAGAGTATTCATATTTTGAATTAGGTTTTTATTATTTAGCAAGTTTGCTATGTGCTTTTGTAATTTTTTTTTTAATGTTACTATTTATGTTTTTAGTTTTTATTTATTTCCAATTCATTTTAGTGCTTCAGCTTAAACTTATTTCAGTATGTTTCCAATGCATCATTTCTTATTTTTATACTAAATATTAAAAATATTTATAATATATTGTATATAAAATATTTAATATTACACATTTCATTATAAATGTATAATGTATTTAATTTGAGCTTTATTTTAATTGAGAACAATATTTCAATATTTGCTTTGCTGGTGATCTAAAGTTTTACTGTACTTATGAGTATATAATAAGATTATTACATCATTAAGCTGTGTTTTGAAAATACATTTTAGCGTTAGCTTCTAGCTAAATTCCTCACCTTACAATTCATGACTACTTTTAGGTTCATATATTTAAAGCTTCTGTGGTTTTCAAATTTTTCTACTCAAAATAGAGAACTGTTAAAAACCTGTTCCATAGTGCAAGAGGTTTGGGGAAATACTAAACCATAAATCAAATACATATTGCCAGAATGTGGAAATAGTATACTATTCATGTGCCTTTGGCATACTGTTTCCAGTGTATGATTGGAGAGGCACTCCAAATATAAACTTACAGCACATATTATACAGTATGGAGAGTATACTAATAGTGATGCAGCTAAACGCTCACTAAACACTCAACATGTTGCAAAAGTGTGTCATATAGGACCAAAAATGCCCTCCAGTGTTCCGATAGAGGAAATACCTGTCACACCCTTTAATTCTGCTGTGTGAAGTCACATTATTAAAGCATCAGTTTCTAAATAAGTAGTTCTCTGTGAATCATTGTGACCCCTGATTCAGGACCCCAACCAGCTGATCCGTGCGAGTGCCCTGCGTGTGCTGTCCAGCATCAGAGTGACCATCATCGTGCCCATCATGATGTTAGCCATCAAAGAGGCAGCGTCTGACATGTCTCCATACGTCCGCAAGACTGCAGCTCATGCCATACCCAAACTACACAGGTACAATAAAACGTGGTCTGAACACAAATTGGCCTAATTAACTGTTCATTTAGCGAATACTACTGTTTATTACCATGTTTTCATTTAAATTAAAATGCCATATACAGTATATATATATATATATATATATATATATATATCACATTATTCAGGGTCTAAACATGCAGCTTCATCCTGACAAAATCTTCCCTGAACCTCTTTCACAGCATCCAAAACATAAGAAAAGGCTACACTCCAGTTTACATACTTCGTATTGAAAGTGCATAATGTACTTTTGAGTGTGTAGTAAGACTACTGCTTATTTAGTTAAAGCTGCTGTTTATCGCAATGTTTTCAGTTCAGTCATGTAAAAAATATATTTTTATATATATTCAAATATATAAAATATTTTTTAATAAATAAAAACCTTTATATTATGTTTATGCTTGTTGAGTGTAGTTATGTAAAAGATAATGTATAGTCAGTTTTCAGGCTAGTTTATTGAAAAATAAACCCCTAGATCGAGTTTGTGCAAGAGTATTCATATTTTGAATTAGGTTTTTATTATTTAGCAAGTTTGCTATGTGCTTTTGTAATTTTTTTTTTAATGTTACTATTTATGTTTTTAGTTTTTATTTATTTCCAATTCATTTTAGTGCTTCAGCTTAAACTTATTTCAGTATGTTTCCAATGCATCATTTCTTATTTTTATACTAAATATTAAAAATATTTATAATATATTGTATATAAAATATTTAATATTACACATTTCATTATAAATGTATAATGTATTTAATTTGAGCTTTATTTTAATTGAGAACAATATTTCAATATTTGCTTTGCTGGTGATCTAAAGTTTTACTGTACTTATGAGTATATAATAAGATTATTACATCATTAAGCTGTGTTTTGAAAATACATTTTAGCGTTAGCTTCTAGCTAAATTCCTCACCTTACAATTCATGACTACTTTTAGGTTCATATATTTAAAGCTTCTGTGGTTTTCAAATTTTTCTACTCAAAATAGAGAACTGTTAAAAACCTGTTCCATAGTGCAAGAGGTTTGGGGAAATACTAAACCATAAATCAAATACATATTGCCAGAATGTGGAAATAGTATACTATTCATGTGCCTTTGGCATACTGTTTCCAGTGTATGATTGGAGAGGCACTCCAAATATAAACTTACAGCACATATTATACAGTATGGAGAGTATACTAATAGTGATGCAGCTAAACGCTCACTAAACACTCAACATGTTGCAAAAGTGTGTCATATAGGACCAAAAATGCCCTCCAGTGTTCCGATAGAGGAAATACCTGTCACACCCTTTAATTCTGCTGTGTGAAGTCACATTATTAAAGCATCAGTTTCTAAATAAGTAGTTCTCTGTGAATCATTGTGACCCCTGATTCAGGACCCCAACCAGCTGATCCGTGCGAGTGCCCTGCGTGTGCTGTCCAGCATCAGAGTGACCATCATCGTGCCCATCATGATGTTAGCCATCAAAGAGGCAGCGTCTGACATGTCTCCATACGTCCGCAAGACTGCAGCTCATGCCATACCCAAACTACACAGGTACAATAAAACGTGGTCTGAACACAAATTGGCCTAATTAACTGTTCATTTAGCGAATACTACTGTTTATTACCATGTTTTCATTTGAATTAAAATGCCATATACAGTATATATACAGTGGGTACGGAAAGTATTCAGACCCCCTTAAATTTTTCACTTTTTGTTATATTGCAGCCATTTGCTAAAATCATTTAAGTTAATTTTTTTTCCTCATTAATGTACACACAGCACCCCATATTGACAGAAAAACACAGAATTGTTGACATTTTTGCAGATTTATTAAAAAAGAAAAACTGAAATATCACATGGTCCTAAGTATTCAGACCCTTTGCTCAGTATTTAGTAGAAGCACCCTTTTGATCGAATACAGCCATGAGTCTTTTTGGGAAAGAGGCAACAAGTTTTTCACACCTGGATTTGGGAATCCTCTGCCATTCCTCCTTGCAGAGCCTCTCCAGTTCTGTCAGGTTGGATAGTAAACGTTGGTGGACAGCCATTTTTAGGTCTCTCCAGAGATGCTCAATTGGGTTTAAGTCAGGGCTCTGGCTGGGCCATTCAAGAACAGTCACAGAGTTGTTGTGAAGCCACTCCTTCGTTATTTTAGCTGTGTACTTAGGGTCATTGTCTTGTTGGAAGATAAACCTTCGGCCCAGTCTGAGGTCCTGAGCACTCTGGAGAAAGTTTTCGTCCAGGATAACCCTGTACTTGGCCGCATTCATCTTTCCTAGCAAATGGCTGCAATATAATAAAGAGTGAAAAATTTAAGGGGGTCTGAATACTTTCCGTACCCACTGTATATATATATATAAAGTCTCCAAAGTTATTTGATTAAAACAGTAATAATGTGAAATATTATTCCAATTTAAAGTAAATGTTTTCTAACTTTCATATTTGCATATGTAATTTGTAACATGTAATTTATTTCTTTGATGCAAAGCTGAATTTACAGCTGCCATTACTCCAGTCTTTAGTGTCACATGATCCTTTTGAAAACGTTTTTTTTTTCAGGATTGGCTGATGAAAAGAAAGTTCAAAAGAATACATTTATCACTTTTATTCACTTTTGATCAATTTAATGCATCTTTGCTGAATAAAAGTATTAATTTCTTTAAAAAAAGACAAAGTTCTTGCAAACTTTTGAAAGGTAGTGTATGTAAAAAAAAAGTCTCTTTATTAAAAAATACAGAATTATTTATTATATAAATTATATAAAAATAAATTTGTGTAATATAATACATAAACATATATTTTATATAAATATAAATTATTATAATTTTATATAAAAACTTTACATTTATTATTTATTATTAGATTTATATGTATTTCTAAACATTTATTTGTTAATCTTAAATATATACTTAAGAATGAAAAAAATAATGTATAGTCAGTTTTTCAAGTCAGTCTCAAGAACCTTGTGTATCCTGAAATATCCCACTAGCAAAACAATAAATAAATAAGTATACATTAAATATTTATTTCTAATGAAATAATTGAAGTACAAAAAATCATGGAATTATGTGAGTGATATGAAACTAGGAAAAATGGTGACTTATGCAGCTCATTATGTAACAATATTTGACCACATAAATGCAATTGACCAATCTCAATCAAGTATTTCAGACAGCTGTCTAATAAGTTTTCTTAGCATTGTAGCTTTTATTTTGACTACTTTAATATTGAATAAAAGTAAAATGAATTCACAGGTTGCAGGGGCTTATGGTCATTTTTCTCTCTCTTTATTTATTTCTTTCAGTCTGGACCCAGAACAGAAAGATCAGTTGATTGAAGTCATCGAGAAGCTGCTGGCTGATAAAACCACAGTGAGTGACAGAATCATTTCAGGTCAGCCCTGAGATATGATCATCATTCCTGACGTGTGTGTGTTTGTGTGTAGCTGGTAGCAGGCAGTGTGGTGATGGCGTTTGAGGAAGTGTGTCCGGACCGCATCGACCTGATCCATAAGAACTACCGTAAGCTGTGTAACCTGTTGATTGACGTGGAGGAGTGGGGTCAGGTGGTTATCATCAACATGCTCACGCGCTACGCCAGAACACAGTTCCTCAACCCCAACGTCAATGTGAGTATCACACACATGTGTAAGAGTGTGTATCTCAGGAGGACGTATCCACTTTTAACATGTGTGTATATATACGCAGGAGTCTCTGTTGGAGGAGAGCAGCGAGAAGGCCTTCTACGCCTCTGATGATGAGGAAGATGAAGATAAGAAAGCCGAGGTGACCACTCTAGAGAAGAGGAAGCCGTACGTGATGGACCCCGATCACAGACTCCTACTGAGGAACACCAAACCCCTGCTGCAGAGCCGCAATGCTGCTGTGAGACACACACACAAACACAAACAAGGCGCGTTTCCATTACCCTTCAAATTGCTCAAATAGAATTTGTGAATTGAAAATATGCCTAATGGAAACACGTAAATTTCGCAAAAACGCCCATATATTGCAAAAACATTTTTACGCTCGCATGAGGTGGTTTTTCAGGCAATGCGAAAAAGGAATAATTCGCAAAACTGCAATGGAAACGGCTTTTTCGCATTTACAGGTCACATGGCGTATGTAAAAAGTAATATGATCATTCTTCAGTGTACTATAACCTCCAAGAAACACTTCATAAGTGGCCGCGCTCCAGTATAAGGGGCTTTCCCTACCATTAATGCTTAGACAATTTACACTGCACACGTCTGTGGTGCAGTGTGACTCTTATACGGTCACTGAAGCTGATTACGGCCACTCAATGCTTGTTTGTTTTTATACAGTCTATGGTTTATTCCAGCTGCGCCACGCGCGTTTCCCTTTGCTGCCTCTGTAAAGATACACACATAAGCCTCCTTTGAATAAATAAAGCCAAAATCCCACCAAAATCCATTGCCATGACTTATCGCGAGAGGCAAAAGGTTACGTTTAAGTCTCATAACATTGGTTAATGGAAACGCCGTCATACTTTTTTATCGACATGAAATATTTATGAAATATCGCCAAAGTTTTGCATAAATCTCTAATGGAAACGCGCCTACACACACACATACTGTCAGACTTTGTTCCGTGTTTTGTCTCCTGATCCCGATTATAGCCCAGGGAGGGCTCCTGATTCCCCGTTTAGCCCTGAGTACAGCCCAGTAAATTTCCCCAAGTATTTTTTTTTTGGGGGGGGGGGGTCATACTGTCATCCGTGTTTTGTCTCCTGATCCCGATTATAGCCCAGGGAGGGCTCCTGATTCCCCGTTTAGCCCTGAGTACCTGAGTACATGTGCCTTCCTACGCCCATATTTGGTTAGTTTCCTGTTCCTGTCCTGATTAGGTTTATTTGATTCCAGGTGTTCCCCATTTTATGTCTATTGATCCCAGGTGTGTCTCGTCCTCTCCTCCTCTCCTCATGTGTATAAATAGTGTTCCCTGTGTGTGCTCCAGTGTCCGGTATTGCATGTGAATGTTCATGTCTTCATGTCTTCATGGAGTGTTCCGTGTTCCGTTTGTGTTAATTAAACCCATTTGGCTTGATGTACTCCTCGTCTCTCACCGCTCCTTGTGCCTGACTCCGCTCAGCAGTGCACCCGTGACACATGCACTCAATTCTGCTTTTGCTTCACTACAAGTCAATTATTCATTAGAAACAGAATTATTTATTTTGTATATTTTAAATCTATTATTATAATTTTAAAAAATCTAGAATATTTCATTAATTATATTTAGGCAAAATTTAAGAATGAACTGAATTTGAATTGAATTGCCTACTTGCTGCAGGAAATTGAATTGGAATGACATTAGTCCAGTCATTCATTTTGACTAGTTATGCCTCAATGTATTCTCTGATATGTAGAATTTTTGCTTTTTT